AAAAGAAATAGTGTGAAAGCTGTGACAGCATGATACTGTGGCATAAAAATAGATTTTCCCACCTAATAAACACCTGCAATACTTAGAAACCTAATGTAATATACCCATTATGACCTGGCTCATTTGTATCATTCTCAAGTCTCTGCTATTTGGGAGAAATATTTTGTTGGCATCATCCTCGAAATGTTTGATTAATACATTTTAAAAAATAATTTAAAGCATCACATGCCCCTTCATTGACTCACAGAATTCTCAGTTTTTTAGATTTAAAAGTTCAGTGTGTAGGATTTAGGGGGATATATTAGCAGAAATATAATATAATAATATAATAAATAATAATAAAGTAAGTATGTTCTTTGGTGATGATATTTTCTTTACCTTAGAATGAGCCATTAATATCTACATAGGAAGCGGGTCCTTGTCTACAGAGATCACCATGTTGCACCCCCATGTTTCCATTGTTTCCCAGAGTGGACAAACCTCACACTGGCTCTAGATAGAACCATTCTTATTGGCCATCATAGTTAGCAGTCCCTCTGCGACAAGAACGTTTAAACGTGACACTGCTTTATTCAGTGTTTTTACCAGTTTTAATGACCTGGTCTGTTTGTTTTGGAGAGGAAGAGACATGTGCGGATAATTTGGCTCCTGGTAAAAACCTCTTGCACAATGAACACTGAAGGAATTCTAACCAGGAGAAGTTTCAGCTGGTTGCAATCTGCAATCCTCACTGCTTCATACCACTAAATCCTCCTAAATCTTACACACTGGACTTTTAACAAATTAAAATATGCCTGGCTCTGAGAATCTAAACACATTGTGTCCCTTTCCTATAATCTTAAAACTATATATACATTTTATTTGCTCAGCATTAAGACAAAATGATGAACGCTAAGAAATCTGACATGGTGGTCTTCAACACGTCTTCAAACAAACTCTCAAATTGGTTTTGTTATCTCTTAGTGTTTCTTCCGCCATCTTGCTCTTGATTTGCAAGCTTGTGCTAAAAATTTATGGTAAAACCCACTTGGAAGCTTAAAGTTGACATGTTGCAACTTGTGATTCTTTTTCAACTTCATTTTTATTTCATTTCAGCAGCTTATGCAATCATATATTCAATCTTGCCTGCAGTTTTTTCTATTTTTTGTACTGATTGTAATGGTTAGAGTAGACGAGACATAGACTAGATTAGTAAAAAGGAAAACTGGTTTAACCATTGAGTGTAGTGGCAACAGAGCAGATGGATTTATGGCACAGAGTACAGACCTGAGGGACCATGTTCTTAAAGGACTCCATGATCTTGGAGCTCTTGGCTTCCTGGAAGTAGGAGAAGCAGCCGGTGATGATGACGACAGCTGACAGCACGATACCCAGATACAACTACAAAGAGAAGGGAGAGAGAAAGATGAGACTTTCATGTTTAAGGCAGAAATGAATTGATGGACTTCACCTTTATCTAAAAATGTATCAGAAACGGAAGAGAAGAAACAGGCCAGTGGTGAGACACAGACAGAGAGACTAAGTTGAAAGATAATGAGTGAGACATTCTGACATCACACACTGTGGTGTGAGAGGTAAAGGAGCTATTTCAGGAGGCTGAGGCTTCTGTAAATAACACAATCATTTGATGTTTTCATCCTGTAGCTGACAGCAGCATGTTGTTTGATTTGAACTCAGACACCTGGAGGCTGTCCATCTGTTTGCACTGTACTCTGGTCGTGGTTTTATGACTATGTTCTATTGTCTCATGCTTTAATGGATCACCATTAGGAGGTCCAACTCCTGCCTTTTAAGCTGTCCTCTCATACAGCACTTCCATCTATGTCTTGTACCCTCTGACAGAGCTGTAACCAGTTATCACAGTGTGAATTTATATTCTGGGTGTGTGATACAGTCTTTGTAACTCCTGCTGACTCATCACTGTTGTTATTGTACTCTGTAGTATTTTGTCCTTTCATGCTGTGTGTCAGCGCCGCTTAGCCTCAGTCCTTGGCTCTACCCTGTGCTCTGACCCGACATGAAACAGTGCTGACCCATGAATGCCCTTCTCTTACCCTGCCATTACCAACGCCAGGAGTCACACGCTCCCCGTGGCGGGCCCAAAGTGGATGCTAACAGGATGGTGTCTGTCACACTAAAGACGGGTCGGCCGGCATGATTCAGACAAACGGCTGACACAACCTTTATCACTGACACAGCCACATCCCTGAGGAGCAGTGACTCAACAAATCTTTTTTTGAGTGATGTGCTGGAAGACAGGGAGCACACACACTGGCAGCAACTCACAGCTCTCTATGTTCTTATCCCCTCTGGTGGTTTTTGATATCTGGCCTCTCACAGGTACTGTACAAACATTGGTGGTACTGAGGATTCATCCTACGATCATTCATCCCTCCAACTCTCCACTTACGTTATCCCCAGCAGGCTCGTCCTCTGTGGCAGCCTGGATGGCGTAGGCCAGGAAGCAGAGGATGGCACCAATCCAAAGCAGGATGGAGAAGCCACCAAACAGCTGGCGACAGAACTTGACCCACTCTGGAGTGGTGGGGGGTGGAGTCAGGGCATTAAGGCCATCCCTGGCCAGGTACTCTGCTGCCTTGGCATTGGTCAAACCCTATGAGGGGCAGAAGGAATGGAGAGGAAAAGACAGAAGATGGATTAAAGAAGAGATAAATGGACAGAAGCAAGAGGGCAGTGGAGAGGTTGGAGTTACAGAAAGTGTAGAAAGGAAGCAGGAATGGAAGGACACAGGGTGGATGATGACAATTAAGATAGAAGAAGAGGGCAGAAAAAAGAAGGAAAGAAAGTATTGTCAAAAGAAGTTAAACACTATAAAATCTAAATAGATTAGTAAAGGAGGTGTACTGACTGGTATGTCAGTGTAAAGTGAATAATTGTTAATTAAATGTTGAATCATCAGCATAGAAACAATTATTAATCACTAAGTATTAAGTTGAACTGATTTTTGATCTGAAGTGAACGACTTACCTGGACAATATCAGTGCTGTATTTCCGGCAAACCTCCTCAACAGACATTTTGTGTTCCGTCTAGAAAGAATTCAAATACAAAGTAAGCTTAAACAACCGGTCAATTATGATATCAATTCAAGATGATATTCAAGATACATTGTATATGCAATCTAATCATACTATCAAGCAATGGTTCAAAGAATACACATTTTAGGGAAGAAAGTAATTCTAAGAAAATGTATTTATAATTTGCTAAATGGACCCTTTCAATTTAACTGAAAGAAGGAAATGAATTTAAATCACTGTATAAGATAGAGCCCTACATACTGTCGTGTGGGTCTGTGGTTGACAATGTTTCCCCTATAATTGTACAGAACAGGAACCCTAGCCAGGCCAAAAAAACACCTTTTTTTAAATGCCAAAAATAACACCAAATGTCCTCTCCAGTGTTTCCCCAGTATTTATTCTGCAGCGAAGCACCTTGAGTCCATAAACTCTGTTAAAAGTGTCTGTGGTTAGTTCACATGTCTGTAATAAAAGGTAGGACAACTGAGTGTCTGAAATCTAAACTCCTAAATTCTTTCCCTTCTTTCATAAATATCAGTCTGTGGTGGATATAGAAAAAAAGTTTATCATTTTAGTACAGGGCTACCCAGAGCTTTACATCTGTCTTCCGGACAATATTTTTGGCCAACTACACACTTACAAAACAATGCCTGGAAGATCAGCTCTGCACTCAGGATTTCTGGTAAACAGGCTATGATACAGTGCTGGTTACAGTCACATAGCAACCTTAGACGCAACCCGCCTCTGCACCCTGGAAAGCTGGCACAGAATAGGCACAAGAGTAGAAGGAAATACAGGAGTAACAGGCGAACCAGCTTTGAAAGTGACATATTATATTTTCTGTTTGTAACGCTGGAGGATGGTAGTTGATTATTGAGTCTCATTCCCAGATTGTTAGATACCAACATTTTGGGTTGGTAGTTAGACCGCACCCCCAACCCAAAGCGCCTGTATCTGACGACCTGGGAATGAGACTCAACAATGAATTATCTTTCTACAGTTACATTTCACACTTTATTTATGACAATTTATGCCAATTTGAAGAATGGTTCATTTGGATCACCAAAAGTGATAAATATTTGAAAAATTAGCATAGCTTATAATTAACGTTACATTGTTAATGTGTTAATTGTTAATTAAATTTGGGAATGGACTTTGGTGTGGTGGCTTGTCCGTCAGGCCAAAGCAGTCAACCTAGGGTGAACACTGGGTTGAAATAATAAAGTTCTACAACAATAATTGCCGTAAGTGATGTCATGTAGTCCTGGTGCATTTTATGTTGAGTGAGCACTGCACTGGACCCCATTAAAAAAAGCATTTTAAATACTGTATTTCTAATCAGCGGTCATGTGGCATTTTACAAATGTTTGTTGTTCAGATTTTTTATTTTAAGACTGATAAAAATGTGTATCTGACCCAGCTCATACAGTTTTATAACAAGGGATATCCTAAGGGTTTGGCTTCCTGTAGTGTACAGGAGAAAATCCACAACAGGATTAAATTGCTCTGGCATATTAGCTCAAACTACACTGTACCACTACTGTACACCAGCTGCCACAGAAAACCACGTCTCTGTTATCTCCTTTTCAAACAGGGAGATTAGATTACAGTTGGATCGCAGTTTTGTGAATGCTGGAGTGAGGCCAGGATACACTAACTGTGAACTCCTCACTACTCAGCCGGGACTTCAAGGCTTTTGTTTACTCTGTCTTTCTGTAATTGATTTTAGATGAGATATTTCAGGTACTAGTGTGCCACCAATCTGTTATTCCAAGTGGGTGAGAAGAAAAACCCAAAATGATGTGACAAATTACAATGAGGTCACAGGACGGAGGAAGCAGTGAACTTACTATGGGAACTTCCTTCTTGAGGTCATCCAGATCCTTGCCTCCCTTCTTCTTGGGCGACTCCTTCTCATCCTTGTCCTGCGTGGTGGCCACGCGGTAGCTGTCCGACCGTCCATACTATAACACACAAAGGCAGGGTCGATAAGTTTGGTCCTGTGATATTACTTTTTAAACAGCTGACACTCTTATCCCTTTTCTCACTGCATGGTAACAAGACATATTAAACAATTACTACACACTACTTTATACCAACACAATCCAAAGCCTAACTTAGAAACCAAAGGAAACATTGATAGTCCAACCCATAGTTTATTATGAACACCTGATGAGAAGATTTTAAGAACATTCTTGGCTGCCAATCTCATTTTTCCTCCACTTGTTTCTTCTTAAGACCCAGTCAAAACATCTAGATTGAGATCCAAACTTAGATTTAATCCCCTGGTGTGAGAAGGGGAATGTGACACTTCCTGATTAGATCTGGCATCATTAGAGCACAGGCCTGTCTCTAGAGCTCCATTTAAACTGCAATTTACACCGATGCTATTTGGGCGGCCGTCGTTTAGACGAGAGGCTGCTGCTGTGTCTGAGAGGAGGAGGACAAACTTAAAGCAGTCAGGAAAGAGACAGATAAAGGAAAAAATAAATGCCAGAAGGTCTCAGGACAGGAGAATAAATCTGTCAGTATCTGTAACGTGCATCATAGGATATTCACAATTGCCAGTGTCCTACATTTGTGTGTGTGGATGTGTGTGTTTGGACTAGTGAGATATGGCATCAGTAATGCAACTAAATACGAATAAAGGTAATATTGCAAAGCGTTATGTCTATGGAAACATCAGATTCAGTATATTTCTAGAGACCCGGCTGCTGGGCAACTTGTACTTTGAAAGGTCTTCAGCATTATGAGGGTGAAGCTACTTTGCTCAAACAAACCCATTAGCCTAAATATGTCACCAAGTACTCATACTGGTGTGTAGTTCCTGCTTGTTCATATGCTCCTGGGGGATTAGTGCCTTTTCCTTAAATTACCCTGTCACCCAGCATGCACCATCCAGGATGAACATCCTGAGGGTTTCTAGTAAAGAATTAAAATGTCAGCCAGCCGCTCGGCTCACTGCTGCTTGAAAACTGCCGAATGAAAGGCAGGATGTGAATATTTCTGTGTGCAAATCTGACTTAAATCTGTAAACCTGTGTGTTTGTGTTGTTTTGATTTTAATATCTGTCACATACACCTGCATCCAACACTGAACCTCAAATTGCCAAACTTACACTACAGTCCTGTAAGTTTACCCGCTTCAATTCTTTTACCTCACAAAAAGAATTTAACAGACTCCCTGTCTGTGCGTGTACCTAATGTCACAATATTCTGTAATTTTGTGGAACTAATGGAAACCACATGCATTACAAAGTGGTTCCACCTGTGTTGAGGAAGTTACTGTGGTAGAAAGTTACTATAAAGCATCAATGAGCCCTTTTCATGCAATACATGTTGACAGATGTAAATGATAAAACTAATGATGGTTGAATTCCATTTAACTATTTTGGTTTCAGGCTCCTTGTATTGTGCGTGGTGCATTAAATAGAACAAAGTGATCATGAATGTTATTGGTAACACCTGTGTCTTTCCTGCTATGACTAATCAAAATGTCTGCTGTGAAAAGTCTATTAATTCTATTCAATTTACCATTGTGTGGATATTGAAATGGGAAAACAATAGAGCTGGGTATCTTTTTTTTTGTTTTTTTACCAGTACGAACACCAGTGCCCTTAAAGTGACGCCAATACCACTACAACACTTCATTTGATACCTTTTACCTTTTATTTTTTCTATACCCATCAATTTTTGTGACTAAGGTCATTTTTGAAGGGGGGGGGAATGTTGATGATGATTTTTGCTGGTGTTCATACCACACCGGTGTGTTCCCTTACATCTGGAATATGATTCCTAGGCCGGGGCATCTCTGCAGCACCACAATGCTTCATTTATAAAGGTATGTTGTGACATATTTGACCTTTTTCAAAAAAATGCAGCTCCTACTATTTGGATATTGCACTTGGCCATTTTTGATATTTCAGTTAATGTGTGCTGCCCTAACAGCCATACTTTCAAACGTTTTAGTGGCATCTCAGCACACTGAACTGCCAACTCTGTCTCATACAAGGCGTCTGACTTCACCACACCGCAGACTATATGGGTTGTAGCTGTGGTAGTGGCCCAATCACACAGTGCATTAAGGCAAGGAACGCTTGCAAAACCACACATCACAGTCACTTTTCTAGATCTGGGTACAAAAAGAATTGATGCAGGTATTGTTTCAATACTGCTTGGGTTGTTTTGGTCGATACCTTCAAGGTATTGAGTGCCGATTTACCCAGCCTTAGGGAAAGAAAAGAAAGCACTCCATCAAATAAATGAATAAACCCTCCATTACTCACCCAAAGGCACTGCAATGCCACAGCAAAGTTAAGTGGTTGTTTTAAAAACTCTTGGTCATCTTTTTACCAACACAATTAGGGGATGAGGCTTTAGAACAGATGGCTGCTTCAAAGGCAACACCTAACTTAGCAATAAAAATATCATTTTTTAAATAACTGAGCAGGCTGCAATTCTAGTTTTAACACTAGACAAACAACAAAAAAGGCAGCAACAAGAAAATTATGAGACAAAAATAACAACAAGACATTGGAGAAAAAAATCATACCCCATCAAGGCAACATGTTGATCTTAACAATCATAATTTAGCTATCTAACCACTGAGGGCTACAGGTGGATATTTTTAGGAGCAAAGACACACTAAGACATTTAATTACATGCTAATTGGGTTTAGGAAACAGGAAGAATAAAGTGAAGTATGCTTAATTTAGTGAATTAATTGCTTGAGGAAATTTAACTTACTAATTTTAAGAAAATTAAATAGCCTACTTAGCCTTATGAAGTTCATTTAAATGTGACTTTCAGCCTCAGCTCAGCTGACATTTCCCTGAAGTGTTTTTATGATGCACGATGACATGTGTGACTACTTTTTTAACAGGAGTGCATTTCGACTTGACATTTGCTCATCAGACAGATGTTCACTATAATCCAACCTTTATACAGATGTGTAAAAATGTCCTGTTAAAAAAACACATATTGAGATTCATACTCTGCAACCCTGCATGAGAGCCGACTTACTTTGGGAAAGCTCTTATGTGGATTAGTCTACGCTGAGAGGTTTCACACTGATTTGATGGCTGTTTTATCCTGTTTAACATCTGTTTTTTTTCTAACTGCAATGAAAACCTAGCAGGGTGTTGGCTTGTTACAGTCGACAAAACAGACACAGACACATTTGTCTTCCGCTTAGACAAATCCTCTGTGCAGACTATTATTTTATTTTAGAGTGTGCACATGTAAAATAGTTTTTCAGTGATTTCAACGAATGTAAGCATGATACTAACCTCCAACGTGTGAATGTTAATTTTTCTATGAATGCATTGTGTATGTACTCTTAAAGGGATTGACTTATCTTTTATTGATACCAAATATAAAGCCTCTCTTTTAGGAGGTATAGTGGCCAGTCATGTTATTTTCTTTGTACAGTAAATTCTCCAAATTTTTTTATTGCGTTTGTTTCTTAGTTAATCATTAATTTGACAGACAACTGTATTGATTATTGCCAAATATATGGAGTATTTTAAAGACTTCTTTTGAGTAGTGTGCGTGATTTTTGTCCAAAATACACATTTGAAATGGATGACCACAGGTGACTGTAAAGAAGACATTGAAGTTGACTGACTCCCACATGCAACTTTATATGTGTGGGAATTACATTTTACATGTGTCTTCATATTGCTTGTGTGCATTCACTGCACACAGTGTATCGTATGTGTACACAATTTTACTATGCATATGTGTGCTTTTTAGTGTTCTCTAGTGAGTAATGCTTTTATTCCATCTGTGCAGTTGTACTCATGTTTATTTTGTGCTTGACTGCAAACGTGAGCATTTTTCCATGCTGGTGTTCTTCTGTGTGTATGTGTGAGTCCGCATACCCTGTATGTTCATATGTGTGTGTGAGTGTGTGTGTGTTTTGCCATCTGTTAGGAGGTGCAGTGTTCCCCAGGCAGTCTCGTCCAGCAGGCCATCAGATTACTGCTGTTTACTACACTGACAGATTAACCCACTGAACAACAATAATCCCTCTCAGTCACTCTCTCTCTCTCTCTCTTCCGTCGTTTCAACCCCAGTTTCTCATTCATCCTTACTCATTCACTTATTTATAGTGTTGAAAGGTCTACAGCCCTTCTTGAGTTTACATGCACCAGTGTTTCCCACAGGGTATTGTGAGACTCAGGGTTAGGGGTAGGATTATTTTCAAATTTATTTTTTGCGATAGGGTGCCAGTCTATACCTTGCCCTGATATACATTTGCAGTAAAAATTAAAATTGGTGTGACAAACACACCTTTCAACATTATCTTAAAAAAAAAAAAAAAAAAAAAAAAAAAAAAAAAAATAGAAGAACCATTTTTTGTTCTGACACGACACAAATCTGTTTTGATCATGAAGCCCAGTCTCACTCTACAGTTCTCTGGTCTATCAGAGGAGTGTATGAACCACGCTGCAAGCTGGACTATCTACTCACTGTGACAAACAGAGTGATGGCTGACTTATATGAATGGGTCAAATGCACATCGGAAGGTCTACATCAGCCTACAACTGAAGCTACATCCAGTGATTTATTTTAATAACGGCAGATTGCTCCCAGCAGAAACACTGGTTAGGGTTAGGGTTGCTTTTGTGACTTAGGCGTAGAGGACTGTGATGTTTATTACAACTCCTGTAATATTTGCTGCCTTACGTGTGACACACAGTTCAGTTGCAGGCAGCCTTCAGCGTTGACAGGCCATTACTCCTAACGTGACCAATCAATTAGTGGTCTTGTGGGGAGGACACTGACCGAGGCTATAGAGTGGTGACTGCAGACAGAGACAGGCCTGGCTTTAGAGCCAAAGTAGCACATTTTCAAATAATTTGGTTAATTGGTTATTGGACTAAAAATATAATGACACTGATGATCTTTTATGTTCTTATGAGAAGTATAAAAATATTTCAGTTCATTATTAAATTGTAGTG